AAATGAGTAAAGCGAAAGAATAAATAAAATAAGATTTATTTCTCAACTGATGAAGAGGCTGCTATATACAAATCCGCGTGGATACAAAGCGTTTAATATCTTTGTTTGAACGCGGGTTATAATTTTATCTCGGTGGTGTCGAACAATGTGTAACGGTGGTCGTGCGGTGACGAGCAAGTGTCGGCGCAAGCGCGGGTGCCGCAATTGTCTCTAGGCGACTGCGAGCGCGTGGATCGATACGTTCGAGCGGCGTCGATGGTCGATCGACTGATCGATATGCTCGGGCGCGTGCGTGGTGATTTCGATGTTCGCTGTTGATTCGATTAGTTCGCGATTGCCTGCCGGATTTGAGGACCCGATTTTAAAAGGATGAAGACGGGAGCGAAGACGCGCGTATTGCCCGCGTCTCGAAATGGCTGGTGTTCTAACGTGGAGCCGAGTATTCCCGGTGGTATACGGGTAAGCCCGTATGTAAGAATAAAGCCGAGTGCGCTCGGTAATATACGAGTGTGCTCGTATTTAGGTAACGAGACCGAGTATGCTCGGTTATAATACGAGTACGCTCGTATGCGAGGAAACGAAACCGAGTATGCTCGGTAACGTGCGAGTATGCTCGCATGACGGAACGGAGGACGGTTCCTGGCGGCCGAGTATGCTCGGCAGGAATACGAGTATTCTCGTATCGCGGTCTAGAGCCGAGTATGCTCGGCGAGGATACGGGTGTGCCCGTAACGTGGAAGCGGTTCCTGGGGCCGAGTATGCTCGGTTGGTGCACGAGTATGCTCGTGCTCGTGAGGCTGCTGGACATAGACTTCGAGTATTCTCGAAGGATTACGAGTGCTCTCGCAACAGGACGTTCACTGGCGAGCAGTGAACGGGATCTGGTGGAAAAGCGTACAGCCGGGCCTCTTTTATACCCGGCTGCCGCCCGACTGGCGAAGGATCGGCAAGCATCGGCGGTTTAGCCGGCGGACCCCCACCTGGTAAATTTCGAAAACGGTCGGGTGTGGGGGCCGTCCGGCGATTGACCGTCGGTGTTTATACGAAAAGTTTATCGGCGCGCGATGCGCCCTTTTGGCTACGGACGATGTTCGGTCCGTAGCCGTGACGATGCAGGCTGCATCGTTACATCACTCCCCGGTTTTCGGGAGTGGGTGCCTGCGGCGGCTGTGGACGGCTCTTGATAAGTCGCCCGTCTCGCGAGAAGCGGAGCTTGTAGCGCCGTCCGTCCGCTGTTCGCAACTTGTAGCCACGCTAGACTACAACGGACCAGTAAGGAATCGCCGCGAATTCCTTTGGCGCGAATTCCACCATGAAAGGTGGCGGATCCGGTGCCCTTCCTGCTGGTGGCGCAGGTGGTGCGGCGGCGGGTGGTGGTGGCCTGGTAGCTGCTGGCGGTGGCCTGGTAGCTGCTGGTGGCGGCCTGGTAGCTGCTGGTGGCGGCCGTGCTACGGCTGGTGGCGGCCGTGCAGCGGCTGGTAGTGGCCGTCGTGCGGCGGCTGGTGTTGTCGGCGGTGCGGCGGCGGCCGTTGACGGCCGAGTTTCAACGGCCCAAGATGGCCGTCTGCTGGTAGCGGCTGGTCCCGGCGGTGCGGTGGTCGGCATGGCCGCCGGTCTGGTCGGCCTACGTTCCTGCGGCGCCGTGTGCGTGATGGTGCACGCGGGGTCTGGTGGCCCTCGTTTCCGCCCCTTGGG